TCAGGGGCTCTCTTATCCGTACGATCACCTCCAGCTTCCCCCCCGTGGGGCGCCGGCCGTCCAGCAGCTGGGCAGCAAGGGAGCGGAGCAAAGAGGAGGAAACCATAGTTAAAAAAACAGAGACGGAGCCATGTGAGCGAGCGGAGGAGAAGCCGGCAAAGCCCCAAACACCAGCCCTGGGTGCACTGAGTTAGGCCTGGACTCAGCCCGCAGGAGCAGGCCTCGGGACTCCCCTCCGGAGCGCGCTGCCACACGTAGCTCAGCACATTTTAGGAAGTCGTCGCCTGTTTCGATACAAAGCGACGCGGCCTCGCCAAGAGGCACCGAGGCCGGCCCGCAACGCCAAGGGTGAGGAGCGAGCCCAGGGCCGAGCTCTGCACGGCGCTGGGAGTCTGCTGCAGTGAGACAGCGGCACCAGGTGAACGTGCCCTGCGCTCCTCACCTCAACGATCTCCCGGACCTCGCAGGTATTCTCCAGGGCCTCGAGCTTCAGCTGGGCTGTCCCGATGACGCGATCTGTCTTGAACAGCCCCCTGGGAGAAAGGGGAGACCGGGACGACGTGAAACCAGGGTGCTCCCCCCCAGGCCTCTCTCCTCTTTTTCCTCCTGGGAGCCGTTTAGCTCAGGAACTTCCCCAAAACAGGGGACCAACAGCCTGCATCCTGCACTAGGAAGGGGAAAAGCCCAGGTCGCAGCGCCTTAAAACAACCCCCTGCCGAGCAGCACCGAAAAGCGCACGCTCTCGATTCTCCCAGTGCAGACTGCACCCATTTCGGGAGGCGAGAAAGTGGTGGCAGAGCGGTTTAATGCCAGTGCTCGGCTGCCTGTGCTTATCGACCCCTAAAAGGCTGCGTGAGCTTCTCAGCTGCGTCCCAACATTCATGAGTTTGCCACGCAAGGAGATAACGAGCCAGTTCCCCTCTGGCTTCTGAAGTCCAGATGATATTTATACCTGCTACTCCGTCCCGGCGCTCTTACCCTTTGTGCGCCACTTCGAACTTGATGCCTTTGGTCTGGATGACCCTCTTGAGCCCGCGGTGGCCTCGGTTAATGTACAGCTTGAACTGCTCCTTGAATTCTGCCACGGGAGCAACAGCAAATCACCACGCTAGCGTGAGGCTGCTGCACTGAGCGCAGCGCCCCCAGCAAGACACGAACCAGGCGCAGGTTAGCGCTAAAGGCTCAGTGTGGCTCTAACGCCTCTCGACCCGAGACCTCCGAGCTCTCTGCAGCTATGCCACAAGTGTGGACCCATTATGACAGACTCAGTAATCCACAGCGCTTTATCCCTTGGGGTAAAACTGTTTCACGCCTACGTAGGGTAATCACAGAATCGTTGAGGTTGGAAGGGACCTCTGGAGATCGTCTAGTCCAACCTCCCTGCTCAAGCAGGGTCCTCTAGAGCACATTGCCCAGGATCACATCCAGACGGGTTTTGAATATCTCCAGCGAAGGAGACTCCACTACCTCTCTGGGCAACCTGTTCCAATGCTCTGTCACCCTCACAGTCAAGAAGTTTTTTCTCAGGTTTAGGTGGAACTTCCTGTGGTTCAGGAACCACATGCAACACCCACAGACATTCACAGATCAGCTGCTCTGCCCTAACAAGTTCCCAGGTATCGGCATCCTCCCCACCTCTCTGGAAGGGCATTTACCAGGACAGTCCGTGTTTTTGATCACATTGGTCTTGTCCTTTTGAGCTTCCTCCTACGAAGGCAAGGGAGGGAGGGTGAGCGCCGAGTCGCCCCAGCACAACCCCAGAGCGCGTCGCAGACGGGCGCTAGCTAACTCACCGCGTTGGGATACGGGAACTCGAAGCGCACAAACGCATCCAGGTCGTTGGGAGCCACACCTTAAACACAGACATGACAGAAAC